ACAGAGGCGTAGATGATTACACAGTTGGTCAAAATGAACAAATACATTAGACAGAGAAAGATGGGACTGTCCATTGAATCTCAGATAAGGAAGAACACACATACACACACACATATACACACACACACAACAAAAACATACACACACACACACACACACACACACACTCACACACAAACTTCCACACTAACGCACACTCCCAACTGCCTTTATGTTTCATGGCAGCAGCCCCCTATCAGACAATGGCGTTTAACACCTCCTGGGCCAGCCCTTCAGTAAATTGCCGGAGAATCCGAGACAAGGGCCTCGAGTCCCAGGAACCGGTACCGGAGTTTGCTATGCGCTGCTGAGGAATGCTGCAGGAACGGCGCAACGCAGGACGCCCTCTCTAACGCACTGTAATTTCATATCTTTGGACCATAGACTTGTATTGTACCCTAGATCACGCACTCTGGTATAATTCCGGTTCACTATGGAGCTGGCCGTTCGACTTAATTTGGAGCCCAATAAAAGAGCATTGGTGGAAGGGTGTCGCGCACACTCGAATAAAGCCAGACTGCTGCTTTACCGTTCATCTGCGCGCCCATGGTGTGCACGCTTCGTGTGGAAGTTTTTGTAGAGAGCACAAAGTGACAGCCATGACAGTTCACGGTCTGTGATGTTATAATTCGATTCTATGCTGGTGACACAAATTGAAATCTGTACTCGGTTAGCGAACGTTGAGAACATTTATGCTGTAGTTTGTGAATTATCAATCCTACTGCCCTTCATGTCCGTTATTAGGATTAGATAAAGTAATTGAATTAGAAACAAGAGATTTTTGCTTTACTTTGAGGACTCTTGGGAGGTTGAAGAGGTAAACGGTCTGAAAGAAGCGTCTTACTCCCTGTCGTAATAGCCCTTAAGGATTTAAATAGCGTCGTATCGCCTGGTTCAAACGTCCATGTTTCAATATTTATGTCTTGTATTTGATACTAGGTCAACGAGTATTTTTTTTCAATACCTTTTCGTTCGAGCAGTTTGTTA